ACACCCGGGGTAGGTTTCAAGCCACCAAGTCTGGGACTAGAACTGTGGTCTGCCTTGTAGGAGTCCAGTGACATACCACTATGCCATCTGCTGGCCCCCAAATAAATAATTCTTTTAAAAAATAAAATAAGACACAGGCCCTTCCCTTAAGGAATTAACAGTTTAGATTTTGGGGAGGAATGGGATCTGCAGCTGACGAAGAAGCTATGTTGCTGGACTCCCATGTAGTCGATCATGGTTCGAGTCCTGGACCCAGCGGCTTAAACTCACGCCGGGCGCGTGTGTGTGCGTGCCCAAGATCCTGAGAGGAGAATGAAGAAGGGATTGTGGCATGGCCATCCCCCCAAGGGTGATTTCTCGCTTTCTGTCTCTGTCTCTGTCTTTCTGGCAAGGGCATGCACCCTATAGCAAAAACATCCCCAAAAAAAGAAAAAAAAAAAAGATGGAAAATCTCATGAGAAATTATAAAAAAATGATATAGCAGGACTAAAAAATATACAAGTAGAAATTCTAGAACTGAAAAATAACAAAATTAAGAACTTAACAGCTTCATGTAATGCGTAGGCACAGCTAAATCAAAAGCTATTAATCTGGGTCCATCTTGAAGCCTACAGTTAAGGGGGCCAGACCCCTCACGGCTGACCAGGCTTGAATAACACACTGGGCACATGTGCATGATGCCTCAAATCCTGACAGGGTGAAGAACGAGAAGAGAAGGGACCGTGGCATGACCATGGCCCTCTAGGGGTGCTTCCTCTTTCTCTCACTGACCAGCACAGGTACCCTGATAATTAAAACAACAATCTACTATCTTTAAGAAACATTAAAACACAACAACAAAAACTAACCAGCATACAATAAAGAGACCAAAGAATACTGAAAATGCAGAGTGTAAGAGATTTAAAAGACACAAAAAGAAGGTCCAATGTATGTTTTATTTGAGCCCACCAGGAAAGAAAAGAGATGATAAAGTCGAGAAAATATCTGATGAGACAATAACAGACCTACAATCGCAGAAGTTTACTAATACAGCTCTCATAAACTCAGCGGGGAAAGAGATTTCAATAATTACCTCAGCCACTAAGAAATTAAGAACTGAGTAACACATATTGGTTTTCTGTTTGTTTGTTTTGTGTATTTTACTTTTTAGAGATTTTTGCCTTAGAGTGCATGCACTTACTGGGGAGAGAAAGACAAAGAAAGTGAGAAGGAAAGTGAAAAATCACCCCCAGGGGAGATGGCAATGCTCCCACCCCTCATCTTCCATTGTCCTCCTGGGATCTTGGGCACACATGCCTGGCGTGATCTGCAAGCCACCAGGTCCAGGTGGGAGTCCAGTGACGTAACTGCTACGCCATCTGCTGGCCTCAATGCATATTGTTTTTAAATATAAATCGAACACTTAGCCAAACTGACCACATGGCATAAGACTAGTCTCAGTAAAAATTTCTTTTTTTTTGAAAGGTTTTCGCTATAGAGCACGTGCGCTCGCCACACAGACAGAGACACAGAGACAGAAAGCGAGAAATCGCCCCCCAGGGGGGATGGTCACGCCGCAATCCCTTCTCCTCCATTCTCCTCTCGGGATCTTGGGCACGCGCGCAC